TATTCCTTGCCTTAAACTACTTTTAAACGCAATATCGGTGAAACATGTTATCTCAGATATATAATACAAGTATTTTTCATGTCAATGGTAATATAATGGAATATGATAAAAAAAAAGTTTATAATAATTCAAACTAATTAAACAAACAAACAAACAGTTTGATTAAAAAAGAAGAAAACGTCATTGTGATTCTAGATGCCATAGACATTATTTTCTTTTACTAGTCTACTCATAATTGTATAAGAAAGGATCGCTGTTCAAAATCTGTAGGGCAATGGAAACTGAAAGGTTTTTGCAATCTGTCTTTCCAAGGGATTGCTGTGAATTATGAAATCATAAATGTATTGATACAAACCTCTGTATCATATAGCTACCTCCATTGTAACTGCAATTCATTCCTATCGTTATCGTTAATGAGACCCTGCAAATAGGATACAGATACCCATAATATTGCAAGCTGATGGCCAGAGTGTTTACTAAACACTTGTTCTCCGCCGTAAACACACTCTAAAGCATTATCCGTCCAAGCAAGCGATAAGAGCATTAAACAGTCAATCAGTGTTACAGTTTCCCGTGAAGAAGGCGCTTCGAGAGAGTCACTTGTTTGTCATGACGTCACGATGCATCGCTACGCGGAAGCCAGGGGTAAACAGAGCGTAGTACGATTTTTTTTTCTCTTTACAGCAATTTAAAGAGAATTATGTTCGTGTGATGGGAGGAATGCCAAAAGGGGAAGGATTTTTAGCGTGAAAATAATCCGCGGGGACACTTTAGTTATATATACCATGCAGACACTACCAATAATACTAATATTGTTGTCATATTTTGTAACCGTGTGGGTATCCATTATCATGTCATTTGATATAAAACATAAAATCGGGTTTCATGTCATGGGAGTGTTAACTTCTGAATCCTTAAGGAGATATTTCTACATAACCAACTTTACAGGAAACGCTATTCTACAGTATCAACAGGAAATATTCTAACCTGTCGGGTATCGCCTTAAGAAAAATTACACGCACCCACACACACGTGTGTGTGTGGGTGGGTGTACATGTTTGTACCCTATACCTTGACTTATATTTAAAGTTCATTTTTTACCAATGCGTGTGGTGAGGCCATATGCCGTGGAAAGCGAATGTTTTAGGTGGGAATTAGTCAGTCACATCACTTGAGCACTGGCCTCCTATGTATAAACACGAACAAAACTGCTGAGGCAACTTAATTTTCGACTATTCGGAATTTTGGATCTGGATCTTGGACCGACTATTCTTAATCGTGGAGTCAGACTAGTCAAGCTTTTCTTAATCTCAAACTTTAATTATTCTTATAAGTAGACCCAAACATTTCTTAAACTTAACTGGATATCATTCTTAAACGCAAACTGATTATTCTTAAACTCAGACTATTCTTAACCATTAACCTAGACCTTTCTTGATGTCAGACCTTGACTATTCTTAGACGCACCATAACTCCTGACAAACTTAGGCCCTCGACTAATCCTGTTCCCGAGTTTAACACAGAAAAGAAACATTATCAACATCGCTCCCTCTGCAATGCCAAAGAAGATCTCTCATGTTTTAAAATACGTGGAAGGGATTCTTTGAAGACGAGATTATCATGTTACTGTAAGATTTACAACGTCGTCCTCAGCTCGGAGATTTACGTCGGAAAACCTCATAGCTGAGGCGCTTCTAATGATTTATAATGTCTGTATTGGGCGAAGGCGCGTTTTGGCCTCTAAAGTTTGTTGACGTCTGTGTATTTTTGTGATCTACTTTTTTGTAGTTTTCATCGTCTGGAAAATTCGCTGTTTGTTTGGCTGGATGAGATAACATGACAGTGACTTCCGATTTAGGAGATGTTGTTGTGGACAGAATAAACAGCTAGGGCGAGTGCGAGATAGGGGGGGGGAGGGGGAGGGGGAGGAAGAGGGAAAGGGAGATGGGGTGGGAAAGGGAGAAGTAGAAGGGGAGGGAGAGTGGGAGGGAAGAGAAGGAGATGAGAGGAGAATGAGATAGAGATAGAGATGGTGATGGTGATGGAGAGGGAGAGAGGGAGAGAGAGAGAGAGAGAGAGAGAGAGAGAGAGAGGGGAGAGGGAGGGAGAGAGTGAAAGAGAGAGAGGGAGAGAGAGAGAGAGAGAGAGAGAGAGAGAGAGAGAGAGAGAGAGAGAGAGAGAGGGGGGGATGGGAGAGGAAGAGAGAGAGAGAGAGAGAGAGAGAGAGAGAGAGAGAGAGAGAGAGAGAGAGAGGGGGGGGGGATGGGAGAGGAAGAGAGAGAGAGAGAGAGAGCGTCTTAAGGAAAGCGCTGTGCAGTTGCCATATGCCCTAATCATGCGCCAATATCACTTCTCACGATCCGCGAGACCTTGTCACTGCCAGAATTAATTTTCAGAAAAAAGCATCGTTACCAAAATGTATATTGTCCGAAGAAGGGATTCAGTTGCCTGGCAGAGAATAAAGAAATTGTGTGCCTGTTTTGCCCAAGAAACAGAAAAG